CAAGGCTCCAAACTACCAAATTCCACTATAACCATGACCAGATCAAGAAATTCGACTTTTGGGCACCTTACGTACTGGTCTGGAAGACTTATAGTTTCCTAGGATTTTCTCCACTTTTCGATTTCTCTCGCTTTTGGATTCTTGGATATATTGTGTTGGGATTGAACTCTTGTAATTCTTTAATCGATTGTAAGTTTTTATTTTTCGATTATTATTGTTAATTGATGTGTAGTTTCTTACAATCGATTAACTCGAATTTGAATCCAAACATGAGGTGATTCATCCACCAAGGGATAGAGATTTTCGTCTTGATGAATTTGGTTGAATGTGTGATTGCTCTGTGCGAGTTGTGTGATTCCTAAGATTATTCGATTGATCACCTTCTAATCTAATTAAAAAACTTGTAGAATTAAAAGGGGAGAACTTTTTCGATCTAGGCTCGCATAGGGTAGACTTGTTCAAAATTGTATTACCTACGTTTTATTTGCTTTGCCAATTTGCCGTCTATGTTGTTTTATTGTAACGAAGATTTATTGAGCGTAGACCTCTAGACGTGTTGGCTTGTCGTGTTGTTTTTCTTGTATTGTTTCTCTTTTTCTTTCTTTTTTTTTTTCTTTTTTCCTTTTGTTTTTTATTATGTTTGTTCTGTTCTTGTGTGCAGGGAATTTAAAGGAGCTCTAAACCTAAGCTACACATTTTTCTTCTCGTACGCTTACTCTTGAGATAATGTATTGAGTTGTAACTCCAGGTACTATGACCAATCATTTTCATACCCTTCCGAGCAACAAAAGGATTAAGTCTTGCTAGAGATGTGTCCAACAAGGAACCCTCATAGTATAATGCGAAGCTCAACCAGATTCTTGCTATTGTGACATCCTGAGTAGCTCAAGAGGAAGATATCGAAGCTAGATGTTCTTGTCTGAGTGCCCAAATGGAGAAATTAATGGAGCGCATTCAAGATTTAAAAGCTCGTGTCGACAAGTCGATGGTTGTTGACTCCCTGCCCGAGTATTTGTCCCTGTATGAGTCCGAAGGGAATTCTTTAGAGTATGGTGCAAAACTTGATTTTGTTCTTGCTCGCGTGATTTCTTAAACAACTCAAGAGGAGAAGATAGCCAAATGTACTTGGTTAATTGTCCAATAGATGGTTTAATGGAGCACATTCAAACCACAGAAGCCTATGCTAATAAAGTCTCTACACAATGTCGGTGGTACCACATTGGCAGAGACTTTCAAGACTGTTCGAGAAATCATTGGGCTAAAAATTTCCCCATTTTTCCTCTCCACTAGCGAGTTGCAGAGTGATCAATTAGGGCCACTCTGGGAGCCCTTGACTTGTGGAGGTGAAATGCCTGAGATTACTTCGACATGCTCCAAGGACATGCTTGTATTTCCGGAGTTTGACTATGGCACTCCAATGCATAACGTTCTAGATCCGTTCTTGGTGATCATCAGTATCCACACTTGTTTCTACAAGAACATGGCCACCCGGACCCACCGTGTCCGCCTTCATGTCACACTTCATGTGCTTCTACTTTAAGAGAATATGAAGGCATGACACGATCGTCATTTCTTTTGGATCTTGGTTGATTTCGACACTGGTTTCGTCAAACTAATGATGTTAAATAAACGTTTCTCTGGGAGGTAACCCACATTATATTTACTACTTTTTTAGTTTCATTTTTCTTTTTTTTTGGTTTTTTTATTTTATTTTTGGATAAATTGTGGTTTTGGTGTCTTGTTTGATTGTGTTGATATGTACATGGCTCATGGGTGCGACTGCGTATGAGAGGCTCATTTTGGACATGCTTTATCACTTTTGATGCCACATTCCGAACCTCCACGTTTTGTTCCGAGTTATGCATATTCCTACCCATTTTCTCAATTTCGTGTCATTTTCTAGTTATGTGTTTTTATTGTGACTTTTAGTTTGGTTTATGTGTTCATATGTTTCCTTTCATGATATAAAGTTGCAAGGTTCATTTATCTACTAACCAACTATTTGTTGGAGCAATGAGGACATTGCCTCATTTTCAATTTGGGAGAGGTTTCTTTGAATTTTGCACGCTTATGTAGTAGATCGATCTAACTTTCTAGGTTGTTTTCTTTATTTTATCTATTTAATTTTGTTTATTTAGTGGAAGGACTTGATGTATTTGTGTTGTTTTCTTTATTTTATATATTCAACCGAAAAAGAACTTGTTTGTAATGGACATCAAATGTTCTTCAGCAACTCATTTAAGTTTTAAACTACGGATAGCAAAACGACCTGGATCTGGCGAGAACTGGCCCGACCTGGAACATTTGGGGAGGCCCAAATCTGTCCCGTTTCTAAAGCTGGTCGGGCTTTGCCCGACCTGTTAACTAAGCGGGCCAGGTCTGGGTCCTTTTTCTGACCCGCCCTGCCCTGCTTTTTTATTTATTTTCATATAAATTATATATAATATATAAGTGAAATTAGGAATTTTTAGTAGCCAATGAAATTAGGAATTAGGTTTTGAGTTTTCTTATTTCTGTAAATTCTCATTTCTATATAAATTATATATAATATATAATGTTTGGATCTTTGTATTTTGATTTTTGAATTGTAAGACTTATTATGTTATTTGTTGGATTATTGTATTTCGAATTTTAAGATTGTTCTTGAGTGCTATTTAAGCATGTAAAATTTTATTATTATTATTATTATTTCTTTTTTTGTGCAACGTGTAATGTTTAAGGTGATGTTTGAGGTAAATAAAAGGGATGAAAATTATGTAGGTGGCTACCGGGTCAAGGCGAATCAGACATGGGTCGACCCGTCCCGAAATGGGTCAGGTTACGGGGGCAATTTATATATTTATTAATAAAAAAATAATAAGTGGACAAAAAATAAAAAATACGTTTTCTATATAATTTAATTAAAAAACATATTCACTAAATACATTTTTCACATTTTTTTTTACAAAAGAAAACGTATTCACGGAATACGTTTTTCAAATAAATTTTTCAAAAACTGTATTAACACCCCCTTTTTTCTTTTTTCTTTTTTTTTGTCCAACACTTAACTTTTTTTTTTTCCGTAAAAAATTCCAGGTCACAGGCCTGACCTATTGGACCCATCGCTGGTCGCGGGGCAAGTGGGGTCCACTGGGCAAAAACACGGGCCAGGTCTGGGTCCGCAGGTACCCGGCCCGACCTTGCCCATTGACATCCCTATTTTAAACTATAAAAAGAGCTGAATCGAGCTTTAACAAGTTTAAACAAATCGACCTAGCTCGTTTATCATCAAATAATCACAAGTATGAACCATTCGATTCAGCTCGAATGAAACTCCTAACCGATTTGAAGGAAAAAAAAAAAAAAAAAATCATACCTTAGAATGGTGAACTAATACTATCATGGAAACCAATCTCATCATCTCATGTGACAAAATTTCAATTTTTTTTCTAAAAATTAGTTGATGCTTTTGGTACATGACGTTGATAATACTATTGATTTGTTTCCATTGTGCAAAAGATAAAAGAAGAGGAATCTGCCCGGTCAAGGCAAAACTCCAAAGGAACACACACCTGAAGGGTAGTGTAGTCTCTCCCCCCCATGTAATCCCTGACAAAAATCACATGTCCCAAATACAGACAATTTTCGACCCACCTATATACCCCATCCCACATGGAGCAAGTATAACAAATAAATAAACTTTAGAAAAATCAAAAGAGAAAAATAAAGAAAAAAAAAAAAGACAAAAATGTGATTTTAGTCGGTTTGATTAAGTGGCGTTTTTAGTTTCAAGAATTGAACATTTTTGCTATTTGGTCTTAGATTTTAAAATTCAACGCAATTTCAGTCCTTTAGAACCGAAAATACAACAAAATTTAAAATTACAAGACTTAAATTACTAATAAAAAATATTTTTGATGTAATTTTTATTAGCAATTCAAGTCTTGTAAATTTTGTTGCATTTTCAGTCCTAACTGACTGAAATTGCCACAAAAGTTAAAACCTTGAGACTAAAAATACTACAACGTTAAATCAACGTGACTAAAAATGTAATTTTGCCCAAAAAAAAAAAAAGGGTCTTAGACCCAGAGCTCTTTTCATCTCCTAAATCATTTGTCTATAATTAAGACATTTTCTTGACTTTAATAATTGTTTTGCCAACTTTTTACCTTCTCATTATCATTATTAGTTTATTATTATAATGTACACATAACAGATGGGACCATAGTTTCCATTGAAGACCAGACCATCCAAGCGTTTGTGGGCTGTCTTCTTCTTTTTCTTGTTGTCTCTTAGCCATTGTACTGAAGGAATTTTTGCAAATTTATGCTTGGATCTTGAAGGGTTCTTTTTTTTTCTTCATCTTATTTTCTTTCTTGTGCTGTAATGTGTTGGTGTTGAGTTTTTGGGCTAGTTGAATATCACGAGGGACTTGTGTCTGCAGATATTGCTTGTACTTTCTAGTTGGGTTTAGCTTTTGACTGTTGAAACAAGGTGCAGAGCTTCACAATCCTTGAAATTTTGGAGTTTTTTGTACACGGGGAAGAAGGAGAATTTTGATTTTTTTTTTTTGATTTTATTTTTTTATTTTTTTGATTTTTTGTTTGAATTCTGGGGGAATTTTTGGTGTAAAGGTGGAATCTTGATTTTATTACAACCTAGTAATGTTTTGCAAAGTTTAGATTTTGACCAATGCTCTGCAGTTTGTGTTCAATTCTGTGGTGTAGATTTGGCATTGGGGTTGACTAAATTAGATTTCTTGCTGGTTGAAAGTTCTTTGAAAACTGAATATTTTTGGTTCTTGGGGGGGCTTTATGAGTTAGTATTATTGAGTAATATTAGAGGGTTGAGAAGATTGTATATATGAGGAAAACATCTGTTTGAAGGGAGCTGATGTTGATGAAGAAGCCATAGACCAGAAGACAATTGTGAGAATGTGGGCCTTTGATGTAATAGAAAGGAAAGTTTAGGGGTGAAATTTGGATATTTAGAAGAGTTGTAGGGAGTGAAGAAGATAAAAAATGGCAGCAAAGTTATTACATTCTTTGACAGATGAAAATCCTGATCTGCAGAAGCAAATAGGCTGTATGACCGGCATTTTTCAGTTGTTCGATCGACAACATATTCTAACCAGCGGCAATAGGCGCTTGGTTGGCCATACTCCCAAAAGGCTTCCCCCTGCAGGTAATTAAATCTATCTTTTATTCGATCTGATTTATCATAATCGATCAGTTAACGTCGTCTGCATAGCTCGTTTGAGCACGGGTTCGGCTACCTTGGTTGGTAATACTCGGATAGGGTCAGGTAAGCCAAGACAAGGCCCCCGCGATAGCAATAGTAGGGGCCGAACCGTTAACCGCATTCTTAACTTCAGGGAAAGGATACTGACCAGCTTTTCGAATTGTTTGCTGCCCCATGTGATTTATTGCCAACTTTTTATCCTTGAGTTTGATATGTTGATGTGAGTTTGGTTTGTGACCACATGATCATGAAAATTATGTACCACTTACTAAACAGTTCATATCTGTTGTAATATTACCTTTTCCTTCATTGTTTTGTATTACTTGCAACTGTGATGTCATTGTCTTAGTTCTCATTTAATTTGTTATGGTGAAAAAAATAAATATCCATAGTAATCTTAGCCAGATAAGAGTCATATCTTTCTCATCACCAAATATTTTACCAATCTATATTTATTTATTTGTGTATTTTGCAGGAAATTCCCACTTCCATAGCTTGGACAGAGATTCTAACAAGACGTACATAAGATCGGCATCAACGGTATGGCTTCTGGATTTTGAGTTTCTTATCCCGTAAAATTTTACAACACTGAATCGTTTGATGCCATCGAGGGTTCATTAGATTTCGTATGTGATTGCCTAGTTTTCTTGAGGCTTATTTCATTTTGTTTATTTTTTTTTTCAAGAGATAAAATCTACCCGGTATGGAAACATTACATTCTTGATCTTCGTTTCTTTTATTTTTTTGGATTTTTTTTTTATAATTCTTTTACTGTTGATATCAAGAAGTACTGCTATATAAAACAACCAAATTCATCAAATCTTGAGGGAAAGTGAAAAAAGAAAAGTATCAATATTGAAATTCAACAACTGCCATTTTGATTTTGAAGTAGGCAACTTCCCATGTATCGTCTTGTGATCCCCCCAGCTCGTTTCTCATTGTACAGATTTGCATGTTGTTAACTTAAACAAGGTTAAAGCGTATTCATAAAATTTTCATTTGTATAATTTCTATTCGGGACTTCATTTGTCACTAACAAATAAAATGAAAATGTCGATACCTATACTAAAAGATTATTACCTTTTGGCGTTTTAAGATCGGGTAATCTCGATTACTTCTACTGCATCACCAGTTGATCAGATTCTCATGCAGGTTGAACGATCAAATTGTTAGTTTTGAGAATGAACCAAATGAGTTAAGAAGCAGAAGTTAGTTTTGATTGTATATAGAGGCATCAAAATTGTTTAAGTTAAGATAGAGTGTTCTGTAGAGAAGTCGTAAGTTTTCTTTATTTATTACGAGTAAAAGTCGATCTAGAATCAGAAATTTAAAGCAAATCTCTCCCCTTGCTTCATAACTCTGTATAAATGATGCAAAACTCGAGAGTCGCATACGCTAAACACACCTTATTCGGCTGCTAAAATTTACGAATCATATTTTTTTGTGATTGCATATACTTCCTTAGTATATCTCATGCTCTTTCAATAGAATGTCTCACATCTTATTCTCTGCATTTCTTTCCGAGTCAATCGTTCGCATGAGTGTTAATTCCAGCACGTGATTACTTTTTAACCGCAGGAGAAATATTCAACTCCACTTAAGCACACCCAAGAAAGACAAAGAATCTCGACCGAATCATCTCGAGCCTCCTTCTCTTCTTCATCCCGCTCGTCTTCCTTCTCCTCCCTCGACTGCAATCGAGCCCCTCAGCTCGATTCTGCTCCCTATGACCGAATCATATTCCCCGAAACCCCGTCGCGAGACCCGGCCATGAGCTTGCAGAACTCTTCCCCTCAGTCCACTCGACAAAGCCTCGACATTCGTGATTTAGTGAAAGACTCCATGTACCGTGAAATTCATGCTCTATCACTTAAACCCAAAGCCTCAGACGAGGAAGTCACCATCATGAGGCGAAAGGACTCCCCAAGACCTCAGCCTAGAACAAGTTCCGACCTAAAAGAATCACTCAAAGCACTCGCTAAGCTTCAAGAATCTCCTTGGTACCAAAACGAGGCCCCCCGAGAGCTTTTAAGGTCTGCATCTTACCATGCAAAAGAAGGTACAACATCCTTTTCGATCTGCCGTGACGCCCCTCGCTTCTCTTACGACGGGAGAGAAGTGAACCGGGCCCCTCTCGATTTTTCCAAATCGGGCCTGAAGCTTCGGGATGCACCCAGGCTGTCGTTGGACAGCAGGGAGAGTTCGCGCGATTCGAAATCGAGCGTTTTCTTGAGATCCATGCAGAAGGATATAAGTAGTTCTGTTGAGATTATTCCGCAACAAGTGGCGACGGGAAATCAATCGCGGCCCCCGAGTGTGGTAGCAAAGCTGATGGGTCTCGAGGCGCTGCCCGATTCAGTCAAGTCTAGTAACGACTCGAATTCTGTTGTGGGCCAAAGTTTTTCGGACGATGATTTTTTTGATATTCCGTGGTTATCTGCGAAAAAGGGTCAAAAGTCTATTCAAACTTCGTGTTCCTTGAGGAAGAAGGAACCTGGGGGGTCCCCACGGTGGATGAGTCCGGAACCTTCTATGAAGCCCAGCTCACGATTCCCCATCGAGCCGGCTCCTTGGAAGCAAATTGACGGTGCTAAGAGTTCTCAGAAGCCAGCTTCCCGGGGGGCCGTAAGAGCTCCACCGAAGGCCTCTACTGCATTTCCTTCTGTCTACAGTGAGATAGAGAAGAGACTTCAGCATCTCGAATTTACACAATCCGGGAAAGACCTTAGAGCACTTAAACAGATACTCGAGGCCATGCAATCCAAGGGATTCTTGGAAAACGAGAAGGAAGCCGAGGGCCCGAATGAGCAGAAACATTCGAGTTCGACTCAGGAGGTGAGATCGGTCAGCAACAAGCAAAAGCAATGGGCCGGCTCTCCAAGGAAACATTACGAGTCCCCGATTGTGATCATGAAACCGGCCAAGTTAGTCGAGAAATCTGGTTTACCGTCATCTTCTGTTATTCCACTCAACAGCTTACCCAGTCTAACGAAACCTACAACAAGTCAACAGGCCAGTACTGAGTCTGTTGATAACAACACAAAGGGTTTAAGCAGCGGAAGAAAATCCGGTCAACTAGCCAATGCTGTGAATTCTGTCAATATGAGAAATGAGAGGACTTTGAAAAACACACAGTCATCATCGAGAGTATCATCACAGTTGGGCCGAGATGGAAATGTGGGCTCAGGTAAGAGTACGGGAACAGGAACGGGATCTATCAGCCCCAGAATGCAACTGAAGAAAATCGAGATGGAAAAAAGATCCCGGCCACCCACTTCTCCAGATTCCGGCAAATCGAAACGTCAGCCGAACAAGCAACAAGGCGAGTCTAATTCTCCTGGCGGGACACGAAGGCTGAAACTCACCGGCGTACAGCTGCTAAGTGTTGACCAGCCGCGCGAGGCCAATGATGATTCTAGTGGACACTTTGAAAACGAGAACTTAATTCAGTCACATGAAAATATTACGCAAAGCTCAAGAAATGCTCTGGTGGGTGGTGGTTTTGAAAGATCCTCTGCGGCGAGCAGTTGCGAGAGTCTATCAGCAAATGCTTCTAAATTCGTGTTATCTGAACTGGTAGAAAAGGTGAGGTCAATTCTTTTATATCTTATACATGAAATTCGAAATGAACTTTTAATTTGATAATTTGTCTGTTTCTTGATTTATTTCAGAAATCTACGAATGAAGCAGAGTCGAGAGATTGTGGGTTTGTTCCGCCCGAGTATTCAAGTCCCGTCTCTGTTCTTGATAAGGTAGTCTGCAAAGATGATTCTCCTTCTCCCGTGAGTTATGTTGGGAAGACCCTTAAAGGTAATTCTTTCTTAAACTGGAAATGACAGCCCATGTCCTTATGAAAACTATTGAATGTATTCTGTAGGTGATTCATCATAATTTTACATAAAATATGTACACATTATTAAAGCCTACAACTACAAGGGTCTACTATTTCATAAGATGTTTATTACAAGAATGTAATTCTCTATAAATCAGAGCACATTTTCGGAAAATAAAAGACTAACTTTATATGTCCATTTAGTTTATTGGTTCTTTTCATCGATTTGCCTGTGTTTCGTTTTCCCAAAAGCAATTATTTCCACCATTGACGATCGAATTGACCGGAAACAAGAGTAGATTGCGGTTTTTTCTGTTTAACACAAAGGAAATAATCTGTTGCATCTCTTATCTGACAAAAAATAAAACTCAAATCTTCTCAGTGGATGATGCACCCACCGAAAAAAACTGTGACCCGAGCGTAGGCCAAGAAAACCCTGCCGACGGGCCCCACCAGACACAAGCCCAAATCAACCGCAAGAAGCTCCAAAACATCGAGACCCTTGTCCAGAAGCTGAGGAGGCTCAACTCGACCCACGACGAGGCCCGCACGGACTACATTGCCTCCCTCTGCGAACAAACCACAAACCCCGACCACCGGTACATATCCGAGATCCTGCTAGCCTCGGGCCTTCTCCTCCGTGAACTCGGGTCGAGCCTCGTGAATTTCCAATTCCACCCCTCAGGCCACCCGATCAACCCCGAGCTGTTCCTCGTGCTGGAACAGACAAAGACGAGTGCTTTATCAGACGGACGGCCCCAAAGGAAGCTCATTTTCGATGCTGTCAACGAGATACTCGCGCGGAAGCTGGCTGGCCCGGGTTCCAGACCATGGGCCTGTTGGGCCGGGAATACAGGCCTCACAGCACAGAGGCTTCTGGGTGACCTGTGCTCTGAGATGGATCAGCTTCGGGCGAGAAATGGGAAATGTGGGCTTGGGGAGGAGGATGAGAAAGAAGGGTGGAAGGAGCTCCTGCATGAGGACGTGATGAACGAGTCGGGAGGCTGGAGGGATTGTGAGAGGGATGTGTCGGGAGCTGTTCTTGATATCGAGCGCTCGATATTTAAGGACTTGGTGAATGAGGTCGTGATTGGCGAGTCGATTGGGCTGAGGGCCAAACCGGGAAGGCGTAGGCTGTTTGTGAAGTAGCTCGTCTCTGTTTGCTTATCGTTGCGCGTCTTGTTCTGTGCTGATGCTTTTTCTTGTTCCTTCATCAGTCTTATGAGTTTGCATTGTTTATTGTTGAGGTTGAGCTGGTAAAAAACTGAGAACAGCTTTTCTGCGTGTACTGTAATGCAAATGTTCTGTAATGGATTATTATAACTATATATAAAAGTTTCACTTGTCTGGTGCAAACTGCGCTGGCATGTGTTTCAAGGTTCCTCCACCCTTTTTTCTCCTCAGTCCTTATTTATTGCAGGACAATGTTAATACATCATTTTTTAATAACAATGGATGACTCCATAAGCCGAGTCATTCAATGGTTTCATAGCAAAACCGATTCATATTAAAAATAATATGTGAGTGCGCTATCGTACCGTAGGTTCAAACCATTGGGAAAACGCGCATCCAGGTAGCCAACTAATGATCGGCTAACTTGTCTCAGTTTTTATGTCATGAATACCAATTTTTTTTTTCTTTATTATTTGCAACAGTAATATTACTATTACGATCGTTAGGATGGTATGTCAATTCAATTAAATTAATTGAGGTTTGTTGTGCGTCTAGCGCTTCCATAGCATAGTGGTAGTGCGTTCGCTTCGTAAGCGAAAGGTCGCGAGTTCGATCCTCGCTGGGAGCTTTAGTTATGCAATATTTTATCATTTTTTTTTTTTTTCGTGTCCAATCTGATACACGCACTAGCAGTTCACATTCTACAAAAATAATAATGAAAAACTAAACTTCTACAACTATTTATTTATGAAATATTTTTGTATTGTACTTTATATAGAATAGATCGACCGCATATTTATTTTCGCGAGTTGTAATTATTATTTTATTTATTTATTTTTTTTTTTTGTGTGTATACATAAACTAGTACAACCAGTGACGGATTTAGAAATTTAACTCAGGGGGTCCAATTTTAAATGTTAAGTAATGTACTTTAAGTCGAAACACTCATTTCATATACAAATGTATTTACTATAAATATAAATATATATATGTTTACCATTGTATTTTTAAATACTTAGAATACGTCACCCTCAAACTTAAAATAAAAAAATAATAAAAAAAAATCTTTCATGTATTTATAATTTAAGTGCAACATCTATAATTTATGGAAAAATAAGTTTTTTTGGTTGAAAAAATTAATTTAAATTGTACTTTTGCAGCACATTGCATAACATTTTTGTTGAGAGCTTATAATTTTTAAAAAAAAATTATAAAGGTAAAAAAATTTGATTATACAAAAAAAGTGAAAAATCAATATTTACGAATGTAAAAATCGAACTAAATACTCGGTTTTATAAATCACTAAATTGATTTATATTAGTAAAGTTAAAAATATGTGATTATACAAAAAAGGTAAAAAATCAATATTCATAAATGTAACAATCGAACTAAATACTTAGTTTTATAAATCACTAAATTGATTTACAATTAAGAGACCGAAAGTGTAAATCATTATAAATATTTTCAAAAGTTTATCTAGAAATGGAAAATATACTATTGTTAGTACATTTTTTAATATGAAAATATTATTTTAAACTAAAATAGCAAAGAAATAAATTTTAGTTACTAATATATTGTATAAAATTTTTGCATTTTTCTATACATATTTTATATATTTTATATATATTATAGATATTATGATTATATATATACTTTTTGTAAAAAAAAAAAAAAAAATGAGGGGGGCCCTTCTTTGGCTCCGTCTATGAGTACAACACTCGTGTATTATACGGGTGCTTGTTAAAAAATTATTCTTAAATTTTAAACTTAATGAGAAAATTATATTAAATTTAGTTTACTTTTTTACAAAAAAATATATTACTATATATTTTAGAATGATATGTGTTAATTATGACTTACATGTGTTATATTATATTAGTTTTTATAACTCATATCATATAACTACTTGAAATATAAATATATTAGTTGATAAATAATTTTATTTTTCTAATTAATATTAAAAATAATTTTATTATTGTTATAAAGATAAATATAAATTATTTTTTTTATACATACAATATGAATGTTAAATCGAAGTTCATCAAAAGTAGATTAATTTGATATTTACATATGTAAAACTGATAAAAAATATAAAAGTTATTAACTTTTAAAATATATATACAATTCAATAGTTATAATAATGAATGATATTAAAATGCAATTAATACAGGTAACATGACCATAAATAATCAACATATTTATGATAATCCGAACCTAATTATTTTTAGTTTGGAATTAAATTAAAATTTACCCAAGCCTAATAACGAATAATGTAATTTTGCCACATAAGATTTCGAAGCACCAGAAACAGCCACGTAGGCTCGTTGTGGATTAATATATATATATATATATATATATATATATATATATATATATAGGGGGGTGGGGATTGCAAGTTGGACCATTGAAAATACTCTTTCGTTTATTAGCCCTTTATAGATGCAGGCCCAAGTCCAACTTAGGCCCTAGCACTGCAGTTTGGGCCCCTGGTTTAACATCTATTGGATCTTGTGACATTTCCTCCTGGACTGATCATTGTGTTCCTCTCTCAATGTATCATCCCATGCATCTCTTCGTCTTTTTCCCCTTTTATGAACTTCTGTTTAGGGTTTTGTAGCTCATGACTCTAATTACGTGTGTATATGAACCGATCTCTAGTTTATGATGGGATATAGCCCTTATAAGCTCGCAAGTTAATTGAACGAGTTGCAAGGAGACGAGTTTATAACATTTACCAATATCAACAAACAAATGAGACAAACTTGTGCTTTAACGAGCCGACAATGGTAGAAGTTTAGAAAATTATGTAAAAATCCATATTTTTTCGGCTTACAAGTAGAATTCTCGGCTCGTTAACAAAAAACGAGTTTTTAAAGAGCTCGTGCTTACAAGCAGCTCATTTTGTTTAAAGCTTAGAATATACTCCTCCCCTATTATTGTTAAATGTCGTTCTGTACTTTAACTTATAAACTAAGAAATTTTTTCTTGCCAATATTAACCTTGTTTAAAGCAACTTAATATTCATTAATTTATTTCTTTTTGGCTTTTTTTATTGTTAATGGGTCTTTGTATCTTGTCCCTAAATATACAAATGGATAGCTGATCAGAATCCTAGAACAACAAACTTCATAGCTCTAGTGAACACGAACAGAGTCTAAAGCTGAGCACTATATATGATATGATGCGTGAGGCTTTCAGTAGAGAGTGAGATGCAAATGTATGTCTTGTGTGTCCTCCTGCCGCTTCTACAATGTTCTCTTTATAGGACTACTAACTCACGTGGGGAATGACACTAGTCACCTGCCGCTTAAAACATGTAACAACCCCTTAAAGCTATTCTAATAGGCAGAAAATTGGTCAGATCGTTTTCAGCTGTTAACACACAATTACTCCACCTAAAACAACCCGATGGAGTCAACACGTCCAGGTTAATGTACCTGGAGAGGTCTTAAATGCGGTTGGGTCAAAACTCGATGCCAAACCCAACTCGGTTTGGATTTTATAATGGGCTTCAGTCTTACAAATAAATTTGCAGCAAAAAATTCTAGGGGCAGGGTCCAAGGCCCAAGTCCAGACTGTCCAAGTCTAATGTGGGATAAGACTTGACCCTCGAGTTCCACAACCAGCGTTTACGTACTTTTTAATGACTAACTTTAATAATTTATTTCACTCATCGGAAATCTGTTTTAAGAAGGTGAATATATTATGAGTATCTACTCGGATCAAAGAATTTTTCTGCATAATTTAGTTTAAGCCGAATTAAATATTTAGTCCTAACAAAATCAGTCAAAACCGGGTCTAAACACATTTTTTTTTTTTTAATTGATTTTCCAACACTAGACACATATCAAGATCTTATATAATCATTGAATATGATACCGATATGCTAACCTCTTGTCATATCAGCTGATATTAACTCATGTCTATTTGAGCAAGATAGCATGACTAATAATTTTTTAGCTGGGCTGAATAGTTAATTTATGTTGTGTGGGACGAATTATCAAAAAATTCAAAAACGCTTTTTAATTGTGGTTGTGTATTAAAAAAAAAAAAAAAAAACCCATATAACTAATAATATTCTATAACTTTTAAAATTGATTAATTGAGGATAATTTTTTATGAAAGCGAATTTTCATCAGATATTGACACATCATTTGCACGCATATGTCTTCAGATATTTTCTTTTTGGGTACAAAAAAGGAGGTCAAAGCCTAAAGATAAAAAACGACTAGACTAATACGTTCCGGGGATAGGACACCCCCATAAGATCGTGGTCGAGCCAAGACCCTACGCTAGGAGGCGGAGCCGACATACGATGTAGCCCAAGAGAGTATGAATCCGCCAGGCTTGCCATAAAATCCGCCGCGTAATTAGCTTCTCTATGCACATGATGAATTCGCACACTCCAATTGTACCGAAGCATACTACGTATTACCCGCACTATTGCCGTATGCGCTCCAATCTCGTCGTCATGTCCAAGGACCATCTTCACCACACACTGACTATCCACCTCTGCCAGAACTTGTCGAAAGCCTAGGTCCCAAGCCAACTGCAAGCCCTGAAATAATCCCCATAATTCGGCTCCCGTAATATGTCTTCAGATATTAACACATCATTTGCACGCGTATGTTCTTTTTTCTTTTTTTAAAATGATAGAGATTTTATAAATAACACAAACATGTACAAACTAGAAAACAGCCCCAGCTGAATGAGCCAGCTAAAAGGTCGAATAAAAGTGGACGGACAAATCCGAATATCGCCTAAAATCTAAACTAGAACAAATACTAGACCACACATCCAGAAACACAACAAAACCACCAACCTCCAATAATGAAGAATCACCACTCTCACACGAGAGACTACACGCTCCCAAATGGGAGAAAGTCAGAAAAAATTCAAAAACACAAGCCTAAACACACAACAAACAATTGTCACTGCAAGACACAAACACAAAATACCTAAAAATAAGATAAACTAAAGCCCTTCTACAGTAAGCAAACCACACCAGACGCTACTCGACGGCCGAAACCACAACGGACCACCCCAACAAACTTGACCTCCCTAAATTGTCGCTGCCCACCACGCCTAACTGAAGCCCAAACCCAAGAGCTCGGTCACCTCCGCTACCTCATAATACCAATGAGACAAAACTACACAATAAACAATAAATGTTGACCATATATACATACAAGTTGCCTTATTCATGATTCAAACTAGTTTAAACTAGTTTTAGACTTAATTAATACAAAGTCTTCCAATTTTTTTTGTTTATTTTTTGTCATGTCACGCCTTTGCACTGCACACATGAACACAAGTACTTCATCACATCGTACTTTAACCTTAGTAGCTCAAATTCATTTGTAACAAGCAATTGTATTTAACAGACGGTAAAAAAAAAACCCGAAAAACTTGCGACTGTTAACAAGAAGACTTGACAGCCGCAAGGCGTGGAAATAGCAACAAAAAAAAAAAAGACGACATATATTGAAGCATAAACTAACACCACAATTTGAAATGCCCGGCGGTTAGCTAAACTTTAAGCATTCTCCTTGCTTATGAGATAATGGTATGCTCTGTTCAAATAAGAAGAAACTATAAGGATCAACTCTGGTTTTCACCCTCACAAGCCTATCGAAATTCCTCTTGTAGTACGCATGACCCCACGAGTCGGGACAGCTGCAATTCGACGGACACAAATCGGTTAGCCCCAAGTCGAGATCTTTGTAGTTAACGTAACTTTCTCTGATTCCATCCAGTGTCGGAATGTGACTTGCCATCGTGTCATAAACCTTCGTCATGAACTCGTGGTTCTTGGCAGTTGTTTTCTGGCTCGTGTCTTGTGTCGTGACTACATATTGTATCATGTACGTCGCGCCCCTGTGTACGTAAGCCGTCTCGTATTCCATGACTTCGTCCACTTTCCCGCCCAACGGGTTCATAATCGTCAACAGCGAAAAGTCTCCCCTGTGCAGGTCTCTAAGCACTTTGAGCCCTTCCGTTTGTATTAATCCGCGCGTGTAATCCGATTTCGCTTTGAAGTTGTTGAGGAACGCAGGCTTACGTTCTAGCAAGTCCACGGGCGTTGCGTTGACGTACCCGCCGATGTAAACCATGGACTCGATCCACGTCATCTCACTACACTCGGTCGACCAGTTTAGCTTTAGCTCGTGTAAGCTTTTTTCCATAATTGAGATGAGCCTATGTCGTTTTCCAAGAAAAATTCCGTTGTAGATGGCGAGGACCGGCCCGTTCGGGCCAGTCCCCTGCATAAGGACCCGGATGAACAAATCATTGTCCATCCGATAGGCCTTCTCTTGCCACTTGTCAAGTGTCTTCATCCCATTTTGTCGAGAACCCGAGCGGCCGTGAATCCCGTGACCGTGTCGGGCACGCGGACGATCTTGAGCCGCCACGCGACGATGATTACGAAGTTCCCCCACCGCCTCCCTTGAGGGCCCATAAAAGGTCCGGGTCAGAATCCGCCACGCCGGCGACGACTGTGCCGTCCGCCATCACGATTCGAGCATCGATTGCGTTGTCAATTCCGAGTCCGAACTTCCGCATTAAGGCACCGTAGGCGCCACCCGTTATGTGTCCACCGATTCCGAGGCTCATGCAGAGTCCCGCGGGGAAGCCATAGGCTCCTTGCGTGGCATTGGCCACGCGGTAGTAAAGCTCGCCCGTGGAGACCCCCGCCTGGACCCACGCGGTTTTGGTCTGGGGTTCGTAGGTAAAGTCTCGGAGGTTTTGGAGGTCGAGGATGATGAAGGGTTTCTTCATCAATGAGACATAGGAGAAGCACTCGTAATCATGGCCGAGGGATCGTGTTCGGAGGTCGGCTCCGAGGCGGCGCGAGCAATTGACGGCGGCCGGGACGTGGGACTCGTCATTTGGGGCGAAGATGAGGAGGGGCTTCGGGATGGAGGGTTCGAGGCACCGGAGGTTTTGGGCAGTCGACTTGAGCTGGCGGACGAACGCGGCTCGGTTAATGTCTGGGGCATAGACGGTCGAGAACGGGATATGAGAGTGTTCTTTAAG